TTTTTGGCAGAACCGGGGATTGAACTCAGGCCCTTACACTTGCCAGGAAAGTGCTTATTCCACTGAGCCATCTCCCCGGCCCCTGGAGAGACTCTTTAAGAGGTCTTTAAGCTCTTGGGACAGACAGAAGCCAGGGACAGAAGAGCTGCTCTGAGGACAGCTAGAAAGGTTGGGGCAGACTTCCTGGCAGGGGGTAGGGCAAATATCAGGGTGGGGACTTCTGCCACTGTAGCCTGCCCCAGACCAGCTCTGCCACCAGGCCATACCCACACTTCCTCAGGATGTCATCTTCAGCCTGAGGCAGTCGACGTCAGTGTCCCCCACTCCCCCAAAGCCTGCCAAGCCCTGCCACCAAGAAGCCACTGCTGGTGCCCCTTCACCTGCTGCTCCTGATTCCGAGGTGATGGCCACTGGTCGCTGTGGAAACACATGTGGCTGCTCAGGCCTTTTTCAGTATAAAACATCTGGCTGCAGTTCTTGCAGATAAAAGTGCTCCTGGGTTCTGTCCAGTCTGTGGGGCTCCCATTTTGTGGGTTACTATGGGAGAAGAGGCAGGGAGGAAGAATGAGAGGATGAAGCTCCTTCTCTGGCCACTGATTGTTTTCTGCTCCTCCACTCACCAGCCTGACAAAACCCTAAAAAATGCAGGGGCCATGGCCACACTCCTCAGGAGTGGAAGCAGCGTTCTCCTGAGGACAAGACGTCCAGCTCACTCACCCAAGACAGCACATGAAACCACGGGGGACTACTGTGGGCAGTGCCAAGCATGCCAGGAAGCTTCTCAACTTACCATGCACCTGCCACACTCTCCTCCTTCATGGGATGGGGAAGCCTATAGATGTTTCCACCCTGCTGAGGAAAATACAGATGAGCGACACAGCAGGAAGGAGGAACTATGGAGTTCCCAACTGCATGGCTCTTGGAAGACAGCATGGGAACCCGTCCTTGTGACCAATGTTTTCTTAGGGATGAACTAAAGTTAAACAAAAGACCAAATATACAATCTGGACTTCACTCAGTTTTGGCCTATAAGCAATTTCACAAGTAAAAGGGGAAGACATCCTCAAACAGGAAGGAGTACTTGCAAATCACCTGTGTGATAAGGGACTGCATCTAGAATATATACACACTTCTTACTGCTCAGTAGCAGCACAGTCCTAACTCAGTCTGGGGCAAAGCACCTAGATGAATACTGCCATTTAGAAGATATACAAATAGCCACAAAAAGCACAGACAAGGATGCAACATTATTAGCCCTCAGGGAAGTGCATACAACTTCATATCTGCTGTGTGATCTCAGTAATGCTAAAAAAGGGACAGAAACACATATTGGCAAGGACGTAGAGAATCTGGACGCCTCACACACGGGGTGGCAGGGTGCGCAGCGGTGTGGCTGCTTTGAAACACAGTCTGGCTCTCCTGGAACGTTTGCCACAGCCCAGCCACTCGGAGGCTCTACCCGACAGAAATGAGAACATGTATCTGCACAAAAAAGTGTGCACAAAGGTCCACAGCAGTCTGCTCACAAAAGCTAAAAGGTGTGAGCTGCCGACGAGCAGCCAAATACAATCTTGGCTCTGCATGTCACAGAATCTGGCTCAGCCATGAAAGGTCTGAGACACTGCCACTTTCTCAGTGAAAGAGCCAGTCACAGAAGACATGCAGAGCACAATTCCACTTCCACAAAATGTAGAGAGCAGACAAGTCTACAGAGGCAAGAGTAGATTTGTGGCTGCCAGGGGAAGCAGAAGCTGGAAAGGTGAGGGGTGGCAAGGGGTGCAGTGCTTCTCTCTGGGGTGAGCGGTTTGTCCTGGTAAATGCTAGTAATGATTAAGACACCTTGGGACCACACTAAAAGCTACCCAGTCACTCTCTTTAAAATGGCGAATTTATGCCGGTCCCAGCACTAAGAGGAGCATTGTGATTTGAGGTCACCCTGGGCTACATAAAGTAAGCTCAAGGCCAGCCTGATCTATATAGTGAGACCCTGCCAAAAAACAAAACAAAAAAAAAAAAAAATAGAAAAAAGAAAAGAATGATGAATTATACGATGTTTGGATAATACAGCTGTAAAGGCAAGGGGAAGTGAGCTGTGCCATGAGGGAAGGACGCTGCTGTTGCTAAGAGAAGTGGCTGAGGAGGCCAAGTGCCCCAGGGCAGGACCTCTTGGGCGCCAGGTACAGAGGAGCAAGGCTAACGTCCGTCAGCGTGTGACACGTGGTGGGCCCGCTCACAGTGGTCAGAAAGACGTGGCCAACCCATGCAGAAATATACGGGGGCAATGTCTGCTCTTATATGCTCTGAAGAATTAAGGTGACAACTCCAAAAGGGAATGGGAAGCAAAACAAAGACTTAGTGAAATAACAAAGTGACACAAAGTGCTTTGGACAACTTGGTACTGTGCTCATTTCTCTTTTGTTTTGTTTTGTTTTGGAGTAGAAGGGGCCACAGTCTCTCTGGATCTAATTTCCTCACTGTGCTAACAGATGCTGAAATAAACACCCGAGGCAACTCTGGCAGTGCTACACTCAGGCCACGCGGAAGGGGCGCAGGTACCTGGATCCTGTTGAATATGGTCAGCTTGGACTTCACTTCCCGGGCAGGATCTGCAGGAGGCCCAGTCGACGAGAAGGAAGCCATGGCCACTTGGCTGGGAGAAGCTGCACAGCACACATCCACCTTCACTTTCTCCTTCCGGAAGCCCGAGAACCGCTGGGATCTGGGGTGGCCCGAGAACAGCCTATAACCTCCGCCCCGGACACACGCCAGGCCCTTCTCGCTTCTCGAGGCTGTTGAGGCTGCACCATTCTCAGACAGCTGGGTGCCGGGCAGCTCATCACCTGCCTGGGGCTGCCTTGAGCCCCTGGGGGGAAAGATGTTCCCTAGGTCCAAGGTCCCTTTGGAAGATCGCAGCTGCTTGGCCAGAGAAGAGATGTCTGGGCTCTGGGAGGGGTCTGGAGATGGTGTGGTGAGGGAGAGTGGCGCAGAGGACACTTTTGGTGTTCCCTTTGTGCTTCGCTGTGTGCCGTTGGGGGAGGCCTCTCTGGGTACCGTGGATGTGGGTTTTCTCCTGCGGGCTGGAGATCCCTCTGGTTCTGTGTTTCTAGGGCCCACCAGCAGAGAGTCCACAGAAGATGCCAGGGACCGAGCCTGCTGTGGCCAGGGCCCCTGCAGGGACTTCAATGCAGTCTGCTTGCCCTCAGGCCCAGAGGGCTGTGAGGAGGTGGCTGTGACCTGGGCATGGGAGAAGATCCGCTGGGACTTGGTGATCATCTGGAGCACCTGCATCTGCTCATGGCTCACCAGAGACTCCTGGGACTTCAGGAACAGCTGGCAGAGGAGGGGCGTGGCATCTGTTGGGAAGGACTCACTTTTCTTGGAAGCCCAGCTGTCCTCATCCCCACTGTCAGGCCTGGTGTCGCCCAAGGCCTCACTGGGTGCCTTCAGGAATGTGGGCAGGAAGGGCGGTGCGTCCTGACTGCCACCTGTGCTGGGCAAGGGCTCCCCTGGAGCCGAGGTGCTGCTGGGCCCAGGGCCAGACTCTGAACCCTCCCCAGGGGGCTTGTGGACCGCGAACACATTGTTGCCTTTCCTTTTGGGGCAGCCAGACAGGTTGCGGAGCCACTGGAAGCTGTGGCTGGATGGCTGCGCACTGACAGGGCCCTTCTGACCCTGGAAAGGAGGCAGAGAGGCAGGCAGGGAGCTGCCCTCGGGCCAGTCCTCCAGGGAGGACGGGAGCTGGAGAAGTAAGGGCTCTGACTCTGGAGGGTCAGGGCCATCATTCTCAGCTGTCCCAGAATGGGCAGTTGTGCACGCATCAGCAGCCGGCTCCTTCTGGGGGGCACAAGGCTCTTCAGGAGCCTCAGTGCCCAGGGATCCTGGGACACAGGAGGAGGACCCCGGTGAGGTGGTGCAGGGACAGGCCGTGCTCCTCCCTTCACCCTCTGCAGGCCCCACTGTGGCAGGGCCGGGAGAAGGGATCTTCTGGTGGACAAGGCTGCTCACGATACAGCGCAAGAGGTCTCGGTTAGGCAAGATAGAGCCAGGGGACCTGGCTTCTGGGGGCCCCAGGGACCGCAGGCCACTGGGCAGAGGTTGGCCAGCTGTGTCAGGGGCAAGAGGGGAGTCTCCACAGGCATCCTCTTCTGGAGGAGCCTCCTTCAGGATGCACAGGCCGTGCTGCACCTCGTAGTGCCGCCGCAGCGAGCGGTAGTCACAGTAGCTCTTGCTGCAGCCCTGCTCGATGCACACAAAGGGCTTAGTCTTCTGGTGTGTAAGCATGTGCCCGGTCCTGGGGTCAGACATGAGATAGGATGTCAGTGAGTGGGCACTTGGGATCCAGCCTCCCACTGCACAACCCCAGAACCTGTGAGGGTCCTCAGTGCACCAGTACGGCTACTCAGAAACTGCACTCAGCGAAGAAAGAGACAGGGAGGGAGGGAGGGAGGGAGCTCTGAAGTGGCCCTGACTGGCCCTCCTGGGGAGCATCACTCTCCAGAACACATCCAGGAGACGCCAGCTCGGGGCTCACCTTCTGGGGTAAGAGGAGCCACCACAGCAAAAAACAATTTGCAGACACCCAGATCAGTGTAGACTTCCCACAGGCAGACAGCCAGGTCTGCCCACAGTTTCAGCAAGTATAACTGCACGTGAGTGTGGACCTCACTCACCTCATCCAACATCTGCACTAACACACCATGAGCAACCGAGGGGTTACCGTCTGAGACCCTGGCAATCCACTCTGGACAATCCCTATGCTTGTGGCCCCTGGGGTGAGACCACTGACTGAAGCCTTTCCCAAAGGATAGCCCCAGACCTCCTTTAAGGGAAGGGACAGAGAAGGAACCAGCTAAGTTCTAGATCTGTTTCCAGCTTGTGAAAGGAGTGAAGGGAAATGTCCCTTTCCCTGGGGTGATGCTAGGAAGAAGTGGGCTCCTCAAAGCGCAAGCACTCACAGACCTCTGGGCTGAAGCCAGCCGGGTCTTTCCTTCTCTCGCCTGCATGGACAGCTCTTATTGTCTTATTCCAAGACAATAAGAACAAAGGAATTTGCTCCTAACTCTTAAGCTACAGTTCCCTTTTTAAGACGTCTTTTAATTTTTTTTTTTTTTTTTTTTTTAGACCGGATTTGGGCTTTAGTTCATGTTGGCTTTTAGCTCATATTGTTGCCCAGGCTGGCCTGGACTTGCAAAGATCCTCTTGCCTCACCCTCCTGAATGCTGGGATTACAGGTATGCACCACCATGCCCAGTGCTTTTTTAAAATCAAGAGTTT